AGTGATCGGGGCGTGGAGGTCGCAGGGGGCGGGCGGCAGTTGCCCAGCCGGGATAAAGACGCGAATTCGGAGGGCCCCCGCCCCGCAGGGCCCGCTCGGAGAGCGCCGTCCCAGGTCGGGGCCTTCTCAGATCCGGGAACGGGTCGTGGTGCGCGGTGGAAACTGTAAGATTTTTCTTCCCCTGCAGAATTTGTATCAGTGCAAGTAACAAATACGTTCCCGCAGTGTCGAGGTGGGGAGGGGGAGAGGGAGCAGATTCTAGTGTAAAACGGGAAGTCTCTCAGTGGTTGACCGACAGACCCAAAATCAGGAGGCCTGAAATACCCGCAGAGTGGCAGAATGATCTTTGGCTACAGATCTCTTGCCTGGAGAGTTGCAATCGTTCCCCAAGGGCCCGGCTACAGAGTGCTAATTTTTGGGATTTCGTAGTGGAGTCTATTTCCATTCAGGCAAATCCGTCGGGACTTCATAAGCTTCACTTATATATCTTCTCAACCTTCTTCTCAACGTACAGCTTTCTAATTCTCTGCCTGCAGCCTTCACACCCTCTTAAGCAGGTGGACAGACTTGTCCTTGGCACTCAGTGGATGCAGAACAGAGCTAAGGAAGAAGGGCTTCCTTCTTTCACTGACCAGTTGAGTTTTGGAAGCAGAAAAATCTTGGAGCAATGGCTTTATTGTGCATTTTATTAGAGAGGAAGGAAGCTTCTGAAAGAAAGTCTCTGAATGTTTGGGGCCTGAGATGGGTCGTATAAAGTAGGGTCTCCCCAGCCGTGGAAAGGGAAAAAGAGACGGAAGTGTTTGTAGAGAGAATGATGTTCAGTTGTTCCTTGGTACCCACAGGAATGCATTCCAGACTCCTGTGGACTCCAAAATCCCCGAATGCCCGAGGCCCTTATGTAAAATGTCACAATATATGTGTATCATTCATGCACGCCCTCCCGTAGACAGTTATGTGATGCTTAGCCAGGAGGATACATTCGGAGAAATGCATTATTGGGTGATTTCATAGTTGCTTGAACATCATAGAGTGCACCTGTCTAAACCTAGATGGTAGAGTCTACTACACACCTGGGCTCCGTGGTCTAGCCTGTTGCTGCAGTTACACACCTGTGTAGCATGTTACTGTACTGAGTACTGCAGGTAGCTGGGACACAAAGGTGAGTATTCATGTATCTACACATGGGTAAATGCAGAAAAGGTACAGTACAAAGACAGCATAAGGAGATAGGAGAGGGTCACCTGTGTAGGGCGCTTACCACACACGGAGCTTGTAGGGCTGGAAGTTGCTCAGGTGAGTCAGTGAGTGGTGAGTGATTGTGAAGGCCTAGGATACTACACCACTGTAGACTATAAACATGATGCACTGAGGCTATATATTTTATTAAAAATATTTTTCTTCAATAAGTTAACCTTAGCTTACGGTAACTGTTTACTTCATAAATGTCCTAATTTTTCTTAACATTTTGACTTTTGTAATATCATTTATCTTCAAACACATGGTACAGCTGAACAAAAATATTTTCTTTTTTTCTGTTCTTATTCTGTAAGCTTTTTTGTATTTAAAATATTATGTATTAATTTCTTTATTTTACTTTTTAAAATTTTGTTATTAAACACAAGACACACACACATGGGCTTAGGCCTCCACAGGGTCAGGATCATCAATATCACGGTCTTCCACCTCCACATCTTGTCTTACAGAAGGTCTTCAGGGGCAATGACAGCATGGAGCTATCATCTCCTGTGATCACAATGCCTTCTGGAAAATCTTCTGGAGGACCTGCCTGAGGCTGTCTTACAGTTTACTTTTTAAAAAATAAATATAAGGAGGACCCTCTAATATAGTGATAAAAAGTGTGTTGTGGTAAATATATAAACTAGCAACACAGTTTTTTACCATTATCAAGCAATATGTGTTGTACATAATGTGCTGGCCTTTCATACGACTGGTAGCACAGATTTTTTACACTAGCATTAACGCAAGCACATAGCATTACTACAAGCACATGAGTAATGCACTGTGCAGTGACATTACAGTGGCTATGATGTCACCAGGTGACAGGAATTTTTTTTTAGCTTCATTATAATCTTATAGGGCCATGGTTGTATATGCAGTTCATGGTTCATCAAAATGTCACCATATAGCACATGACTGTGTTTTAAATCATCTCTAGGTTACTTATAATATCTCATACAGTGCAAAAGCTATTTAAATAGTCATTATACTGTATTGTTTAGGGAATAATGACAGGGGAAAAATCTGCACATTTTCAGTACAGTTGCAGCCATTCTTTTTTTTTCCCAAATATTTTTAAAATTAGCATAAGAATGCCTTTATTAACTTTACATGGAAGTACAAAGACAAAACTTCAAATAATACCTTTTATTTTTGACGCATGATTGGTTGAATCCAGGGTTGTGGAACCCATGGATACAGAGATCCCACTGTGTGTGGAGGATAGGTAATTGAGAACCAGTATACGTGCAACTGGTATCTCTGCCAATGAGAACAGGATAAATAGTACAAAAAAACCCCCAAAACCCCCAAACTGAAGATACTACAGCAGAAAATGATTAAAAAATAAATGACTAGGTACAGTGGCTCACACTTGTAATCTCAGCACTTTGGGAGGCCAAGTGAGGAGGATTGTTTGAGCCCAGGAGTTGAAGATCAGCACAACATAGCGAAAGCTCATCTCTACACAAACTAAAAAATTAGTCAGGTGTGGTGGCATGTGCCTGTAGTCCCAGCTACTTGGGAGGCTGAGGTGGAAGGATCACCTGCGCCTAAGAGGTCGAAGATACGATTTTTTTTTTTTTTTTTTTGCGTTGGAGTCTCACTCTGTCGCCCAGACTGGAGTGCAGTGATTGCTCCTAGCCACCGCAGCCTCGCCTGCTGGGCTCCAGCGATCCTTCCGCCTCAGCCTTCTGAGTAGCTGGAATTACAGGCATGAGCTACCACGCCCGGCTGATTTTTTGATTTATTGTAGAGATGAGGTCTTGCTACCCAGGTGGGTCTCGAACCAACAGGCTCAGGCAATCCACTCACCTCAGCCTCCCAAAGGCGCGGGATTACAGGCTGAGCCACCGAGCCGGCCCAAGATACGATTAACTGTGATCATCCCACTGCACTCCAGCCTGGAAGACAGATTGTGACCCCACTTTGTGGTAGGGGATGTTAGGGCATGGATAGGGTGAGGGTGAATGGATGGAGAGGCGAGGGGGCACAGCACTGCCAGAGCCAGCATGCCAGAGGTATGCGCTGGCAAACCAGAGATCCAAATAATGCAAAGAATTGTAACATACACAGAGGTGAAAGAAGAAAAGATTTATTTAAGAAAAGTTCACTTCCCACAGACAGGAAGCGGTCCTACACTCTAGATGAGTGTGACCCCATAGCCCCCTTGAGCTCCTGTTAAATCCTTTCCCTTGGAGATGCTGCAATCACGTAGGCGTGACTGCCATGACTTCTTTGTTGACTATTTGCCTTGGAGATTCCGTGACAAAGAGACTCCCTAATGTCCGCCCACATTATTACAGCCCCCAGAGAAGGGCGTGATAATGATTCCAGTGCTCCTGTGTATTCCTGAATAACATTCCTTAGAACTAATGGAGGGTGCATTTCCCTTTATCTCCTATGCATTACCAGTGGGCAGCTTGGGGTGGGGTGGGGGGGTGGGGGGAATCCTTGACTTCCCTGCAGAGGTCCCTAACCTACTGGAAGATTAAATACCCATCTGCTCCCCCTTCTGAGTCATCACAAGTCCTGCAATCTGCTTGGGAAAGGGTCTTGTGAACTCCCTTTATGAAGCCCGGCACCAGGAAGTCTGTTTCTGAAAAGAAAGCAAGGTTAATCTTTATCTAAAGTAGGCATTTCTCCAAAACATAACTTCTACTTTCTCATCATTGTATTAGGGTTTTAGAACAAAATGGTTTTTTTGCTCTCAGTCTGTCCTTTCAGGGATTTTTAAAGAAAACACTTCAAAACATATATCACAGTCAGAATGTTCCAGTTTGTTAATGCAAAACACCATGCTCAGTACCCGCAGCTAAAACCACTTCCTGTGTGACCGCCCCTTCCTGTGTGACCGCCCCTTCCTGTGTGACCGCCCCTGGGGCAGCACACCATGCCATGCTCAGCACCTGCAACTGAAACTGCAAGCTTTTGTTGTTATTAAAAGGTACAAAACTTTCCACCATGGAAAGCCTCTTCCCCTAAAGCCAATGTAAAACATATAAAAGCTGAGGCCTGACTGCGATTGGGGCCCAGCCTTTGCAACTGGAGTCCACTGGGCCCAACGCCGGCATTCCAGAAATCAACGCAGCTTCCTGCTTACCAGCCTCGGTGTCATGGTCTCTCTGATTTGTTTTCCTGCAATAACCTCAAAAAAAGTTTATGAAATAAAAAAATATTAAACTGCAGATTAGAAAAACTCAATGGAGGTAGGAATATACAGAATCACCTAGACCAACACTGAGCTCCAGGGATGAAGAAAAAATTCCACAGACACCTAAAAAGAAGGAGGAAAATATGTGAAGTTTTAAAATAAAAAAAGTTTGCCAGGCTCGGTAGCTCAGCCTGTAATCCGGCGCTTTGGGAGGCCGAGGTGAGTGGATTGCCTGAGCCCGCAGGTTCAAGACCCGCCTGGGCAACTTGGCGAGACCTCATCTCTACTATAAAT